CTGACAGGTGTGAGCCACCACACCTAGCCTGTATACTGAGTCTTAAAACACATAGACACATATAGACAGAAAACTAGGGATTTTAAAACTTTTTGAGTGTTCTTATAAATTCAAAATAATTTACAGATGCTAATTTACGGTTGCTATTATTGACTTGAATAATCTTTGGACAGTACATTAGTCTGATTTGAGCGTTAAGAAAAATCTCTCATATAGACGATGTTATTTCCACTGAGAGCCAAGAGATACTGGCTAGAGCGAGGTTTAGTTATTTGTCCCCATTCACAAGTACACTCATGCCCTGTGTAGTGATATTTTGGTCACTGACAGATTGTGTATATGACAGTGGTCCCATAAAGTTGTATTTCTGTATTTTTACTGTAACTTTTCTGTATTTAGAAACACAAATACTTAACCATTGTTTTACAATTGCCTATAGTATTCAGTACAGTTACGTGCTGTACATGTCGGTAGCCTGGGAGTGATAGGCTATGCCATGTAGCCTAGGTGTGTAGTAGGCTATACCTTCTAAGTACGTGTAAGTACACTCTTTGAGGTTCACACAACAATGACTAAATCACCTAATGATGGATTTCTCAGAACACGTTTCTGTTAAGCCATGCATGACTGTAGAAAATTAGTAAGATTAAGCCTTGGCACAGTGGCTCACTCCTGTTATCCCAGAAATTTGTGAGGCTGAGATGGAAGGATCACTTGAGCCCAGGAATTTGAGACCAGCCTGGACAACATAGTAATACCCTGTCTCTATTTAAAAAAAAAAAAAAAAAGATTAAAACCCAGAGCTTCAGCTGGGTGTGGTGGCTCACACCTATAATCCCAACATTTTGGGAGGCCGAGGTGGGCGGGGTCGTTGAGCCCAGGAGTTTGAGACCAGCCTGGCCAACATGATGAAACTCCATCTCTACAAAAAAATATAAAAATTAGCTGGGCGTGGTGGTGCATACCTGTAGTCCCAGCCACTCGGGAGGCTGAGGTGCAAGGATTGCTCAAGCCCAGGAGGTGGAGGTTGCAGCGAGCCAGGATCAGGCCACTGCACTCTAGCCTGTGTGACAGAGCAAGACTCTGTCTCAAAAAACAAAACAAAAACAAAAACTCAGTGCTTCTTAATACTTAGTAGTTTTCAAGATGCAGGGATACTGTAAATCACTGTACTGTTTAAGAGAATGCAGACAGATATGCTCTTTCTGAAGAGGAACATGGCACTATGCGCTGGGAGCCTCAGAACTAATTATCAGACTGGGCGTGATAATTACGCGTGACTCACACCTGTAATCCCAGCACTTTGGGAAGCCAAGGTGGGCGGATCAGCTGAGTCGGGAGTTCGAGACCAGCCTGGCCAACATGGTGAAACTCTATCTCAACTAAAAATACAAAATTTAGCTGGGTGTGGTGTCACAAACCTGTAATCCCAGCTACTCAGGAGGCTGAGGCAAGAGAATGGCTTGAACCCAAGAGGTGGAGGTTGCACTGAACCGAGATCACGCCACTGCACTCCAGCCTGGATGACAGAGCAAGACCCCATCTAAAAAACAAAAGCCCCAAAAAACTAATTATCACATATAATTTGGAATTCTACTTCTAAGAATGTATCCTTAGGAAATAAGACAGAGATAAGGATCTTCACTATTATGCCATTTCTAATATTTGAAATCAAAAGTAGTATTCAACTGGAAGGAATGCATTAAATAAATTAAGATTTACATGAAGAAATTATAACTTAAATAATTTATTTCATAAATTATTTAATACCATAGAGCAGTTAAAATTATGTTTTTGAATTGTATTTAAAGATGTTAGACATTGTTCATGGAATAATGTTAACTGAAAAAAGTTAAGATACAAAAACTTCTTTTATTTTTAGTAGAGACAGAGTCTTGCTATGTTGCCCAGGCTGGTCTTGAACTCCTGGTGCAAGTGATCCTCCCACCCTGGCTTCCCAAAATGTTGTTATTACAGGTGTAAGCCTCCATGCCTGGCCAATACTACTTTTAGAATAAATAGTTTATGATGTAGAAAAGAGATTGGAAAAAATGCACCTGAATGTTAACTGTAGTTATGTTAAAGTTTGGAAATTGAGTGATTTTATTTCTCAATAGTTATCTAGGTTCTTTTGTTACAAAGAACATGTATAATATAATCATAAAAAAGGTAGTAAATGTGTTCCTGACACATAAGAGATGGTTAATGAATGGTAGCTGGTTTCTTTAACATTTGAAACACACAATAAAAAAAAAAAATTGTGTTAATCATCTCACCACCCAGAGAAAACCAGCTTACATTTTGGTTCATCTACTTGTTCTTACAAACTTATAAAAACAAGATCATTTTGTATTTTACAAATTTATTTTTTGAGACAGGGTCTCACTCCCGTCACCCAGGTGGGAGTGCAGTGATGTGATCGCAGCTCGTGTGATGGCGGCTCATTGTAGCCTCAACCTATCCTCTAGCCTCATGTGTTTTTTTTTGTTTGTTTGTGTTTTGAGACGGAGTCTTGCTCTGTCACCCAGGCTGGAGTGCAGTGGCTTGATCTTGGCTCACTGCAACCTCCGCCTCCTGGTTTCAAGCGATTTTTCTGCCTCAGCCTCACAAGTAGCTGGGACTATAAGCACGCACCACCATGCCCAGCTAATTTTTGTATTTTTAGTAGAGACAGGGTTTCACCATATTGGCCAGGCTGGTCTTGAACTCCTGACCTCGTGATCCGCCCGCCTCTGCCTTCCAACGTGCTGGGATTACAGGCACGAGCCACCGTACCCAGCCTTAGTTTTTTGTAGGGGTGAGGTTTCATATATTGCCCCGGCTGGTCTCGAACTCCTGGGCTCAAGTGATTGCCCACCTCAGTCTCCCTAAGTGCAAGGATTACAGGTGTGAGCCACCGTACCCAGCCTCCATCTACTTTTCTTTCTTTCTTTTTTGAAAGCTTTGAAACCAACATCTTCTTATCTTTGACAGGCAGTGTGGTGGGGAGGTTGCCTTTCCAAGCAGTACAATATCAGGACTTTGAAATAATTTCCTGAGACTTGTATTGGGGTGTTGGTGTGTGGGTGTGTGTATGCGTGTGTGAGAGAGAGAAAGAGAGTATGTGCGTGACAGAGAGTGTGTGTTTGTGTGTGAGAGAGAGAGACTGTGTGTGTGTGTGTGTGTGTGTGTGTGTGTGTGTACAACAGAATGGATTTTTGCTTGAACAGACTGGCTCAGCAACTGTAAATTAGTTTGCCAAATTCTAAGTGGGTGGTGAACTGGAATGAATGAGGCACACAATACATGGTGCAGGCAAATAGAAAGGGAAGTCTGAACAGAAATGGGGTCATATAAAAGGCATAGACAACAGGCAGGCAGTTGTGATCTCGAATCAGACAAGAGCTACACACATGGCTTGACACCGTGAAGACAGATGTGGCACTACTCCAGCCAAGTGCTTAGATTGCTTGACTAATAAAAAACTTTCATTTTACTCGGAATCATTATTTGCTGTGTAGAAATAAGTACACACGCAGGTATACACACATACAAGTTAGTCCATCTGATAAACAGGAAAGACTTAGTGTATCCATAAAGACAGGCACAGGATGTACAATAGGAAGAGAGAGAACAATATTCCAAAGAATTCATCACAGTACAGAAGAGAACAGGAAAAACAAGCAGTGTCTGCTAAAAGGAAATGATAATTAGACAATATGAATATAATACTATGCACTCATTGAAAATGATGCTGTAAAAAATATTTGCTGATGTGAGAGATGTTCATAATATACTAATTTTTTTTTTTTTGAGATGGAGAGTCTTGCTCTGTCGCCTAGCCTGGAGTGCAGTGGCGCGATCTCAGCTCACTGCAACCTCTGCACCCCCAGGTTCAAGTGATTCTTCTGCCTCAGCCTCCCGAGTAGCTGGGACTACAGGCGTGTGCCACCATGCCTGGCTAATTTTTTGTGTTTTTAGTAGAGACGGGGTTTCACCGTGTTAGCCAGGATGGTCTCAATCTCCTGACTTCGTGATCTGCCCGCCTCAGCCTTCCAAGTAAAATAGGTCAGGCATGGTGGCTCTCACCTGTAAGGACGAAGGAACTCAATTGGCTAACTCACATATCCAAAGCCACATTCTTGGCTAATAATTGAAGGAGATAAAGTTAGAATCCATGTTTATGTTGCCTTCTAAACATTTCCATCCTGGAATTTCAATAGCCATAGAGTTAACTGCCATGGACTCTTAGTAACTGGATAATGAGTATTCTTAAGTAGACCTCTATTAATTTCTTAGCATGTAGAACTTCTCCTGGTTAACATAAAACAAATATCTAATAAATATATAAATAAAATATTTGAGTATTACATGTTAGATTCTTGGATGCTTTCCTATTGTAAACTGTGAATGAGGTCTTTTATCTAGGGGAAAGATAATAGCAAATAAAATTTGTGTTTATAATATTATAGGTAGCCTCCAGTGCAGTGGCTCATGCCTGTAATCCCAGCACATTGGCAGGCCGAGGCAGGTGGATTGCTTGAGCTCAGGAGTTTAAGACCAGCTTGGGCAACATGGTAAAACCCTGGCTCTACAAAGAATACAAACATTAGCCGAGCGTGATGGCATGTGCTTGTTGTCCCAGCCACTTTGGAGACTTAGGCCAGAGGATCTCTTGAGCCTTGTACATTGAGGCTCAGGGAGTCGTGATCATGCTGTTGCACTCCAGCCTGGGTGACAGAGTGAGACCCTGTCTCAAAAAAAAAAAAAGAAAAGAAAAAAGAAAACCAGAGACACAAAAATAAGTACTGCTTATCCCCAAACAAAGGGTAATATTGTTACTGTGATTTAATTCTAAGCTTCTTTACAAAGGCCAAAAAGAAGCTTACTGATGTGTTATGTAATTCTCTTTAAGATAGGCTAATTATTTTCAGGTACTGAATCCTAAAACGAAGGTATTTTGTGTGCTTCTCTAAACAGCAGAGTCAGAGTTTGGACAAGACCTTTTGTTTCCCTTGCAGGATCACCCAGTATACTCCATACCAGCCTGAGGTGTCTCAGGGGAGGCTGGAGAGTTTACTCAACTACCAGACCATGGTGTGTGACATCACAGGCCTGGACATGGCCAATGCATCCCTGCTGGATGAGGGGACTGCAGCCGCAGAGGCGCTGCAGCTGTGCCACAGGTGAGAGGCCTCCCAAAGTGCTGGGATTCCAGGTGTGGGCCACCTCATTCGGCCTTGTTTTCTTTTTATAGTATATTGTGAATATTACTTTAGTCAGCTTTCTAGAGTATAACTTTCTAAACAAACTGAAAAACTCAAGAGGTTCAAAAACCTAGAAGTTGGATATTTCCTCCCAGGGTTCTTCTTGGTGTCTCTGCCCGGATTTTGGTTGGGGTTGGGGAAGATTAGACAGGAGGGCTGAGGTTGGCAGGCGAGCGGTGAAGACATCTGCACGTTTGGTGAGGGTACCATTTTTGGGAGGAAGGACAAGGAGCCGGTGCCAGGTCCCCCACTGGGAAGTGCTGGCATGGGGAAGCAGCCAAGCGCATGCCTGGGGGCTGCAAGGGTGGCTCCAGGGGCCAGCGGGGTTGTTTGGGGAACAGGGCGAGGTCTCTCAAGGCAAGGCAGTGAGGTTAGGGTGGCAACGTGACCTTAAACAGCTGACTCGGCACCTTGCTTTGGGAGGGCAGAGGGCGGGAGCGGGGGAGGGGGAAGCTCAATTAGAAGTGGACTTTGGATAGATGTGGCTGGGGGTGGGGGTGAGGGTGCTGCTTTGAGGGCGAGTGTGGGTTAGTCGTGAGGATCCCCCCATAACACACACACATGACTGAGCACTTGGGAGCCTCTCCGTTGTTCCAAACCTTGACAGCATAGCTGAGTGGAAAGGTGTGAGGGCCTCCGTTTGGTGGGGTTGTAAGAGGGTAGCAACAAAGGTCATGGCACTGTGGTCGAGGGTGGATTCTCAGGCCCATAGAGTAGGACTTCCATTATCTCCATGGCACTTGCATGGAAGTGCCATAATTTATTTAATCTCTTGTCTATTACACATTTAGTTTATTTCCATCTTTTACTGTTATTAATAGTGCTTCGTGTGCATCCTTATAATAAATCTTTGTCAAAACTGCTGATTATTTCCTGAAGAGCCATTTCTAGAAGTGGAGTTACTGAATCAGGATGGACAATTCACAGTGGTTCTCCAGCCCATCCCCTTCCCTCATTTGCCTTGCCAGTACTTAGGAGCCTACTTTCCTGGTGGAATTCTCATGTAGATGGTCATCTGGTTGGGAAAGGTGCACACATTCACGCTGTGTCTTAGGTCTCGTGCCCCTAGCTCTGAATGCCCATGTAAGCCTCTTTTTTGGCTTCTGCAGACTTGGGGTGGGGAGTGAGCTCCATACTTGTTCAGCAGGTTTGGGGGCCTCTGGTATATTCCAGCCATCAGCCTTTCTGATTCCTGAGCAGCCGTTGGGGGTGAGTTCAGGTTCTCCCTGTGTCAGGGACACACAGCAACAAAGGGGTGCCGTCCACCTGCCTCTCTGGTTATTATTCTTAGCTTTTCACTAATTTTCATCTTCCCTCTTTTTTTAAAAAAAATTGCTTTTTATTTCATTTATTTATTTATTTTAATTTTTTTTTTTTCCCCGAGATGGAGTCTTGCTCTGTTGCCCAGGCTGGAGTGCAGTGGTGCGATCTCGGCTCACTGCAAGCTCTACCTTGCGGGTTCACGCTATTCTCCTGCCTCAGCCTCCCGTGTAGCTGGGACTACAGGTGCCTACCACCACACCTGGCTAAGTTTTATTATTATTATTTTTAGTAGGGATGGAGTTTCACTGTGTTAGCCAGGAGGGTCTCGATCTCCTGACCTCATGATCCACCCACCTCTGCCTCCCAAAGTGCTGGGATTACAGACGTGAGCCACCACATCCGGCCTTCATTTATTTTTTTAAGGCAGGATTTGACTTTGTTACCCAGGCTGGCGTGCACAATCTCAGCTCACTGCAGCCTTGACTTCGCCAGTTCAAGTGATCCTCTTGCCTCATCCCCCCAAGTAGCTGGGACTGTAGGCCTGTGCCACCATGCCCAGCTAATTTTTGTATTTTTTGTGGAGATGGGGTTTTGCCATGTTGCCTAAGCTGGTCTTGAACTCCTGAGCTCGAGCAATCCACTTGCCTCAGCCTCCCAAAGTACAAGGATTACAGGCATGAGCCACCATGACTGGCCAATTTTATTTTTTTAATACAAAAATTGGCTGGGCATGGTGGCACGTGCCTGTAGTCCCAACTATGTGGGGGCAGTGTGCTGAGGTGGACGGATCACTTGAGCCTGGGAGGTCGAGGTTGCAATGGGCTGTGATTGCACCACTACACTCCGGCCTGGGCGACAAAGTGAGACCCTGTTCCCTCCATGAAAAAATAAAATAAGGCCAGGCACGATGGCTCACGCCTGTAATCCCAGCACTTTGGGAGGCTGAGACGGGTGGATCACAAGATCAGGAGATCGAGACCTTCCTGACTAACACGGTGAAACCCCGTCTCTACTAAAAATACAAAAAAATTAGCCGGGTGTGGTGGTGGGCGCCTGTAGTCCCAGCTACTCGGGAGGCTGAGGCAGGAGAATGGCGTGAACCCGGGAGGCGGAGCTGCACTTCAGCCTGGGCAACAGAGTGAGACTCCACCTCAAAAAAATAATAATAAAAATAAATAAACTATTTTATTTATTAATTTATGTATGTATGTTTTTATTTATTTAAGACGGAGTCTCACTCTGTGGCCTAGGCTGGCGTGCAGTGGTGCGATCTCAGCTCACTGCAACCTCTCCCTCCCGGGTTCAAGCAATTCTCCTGCCTCAGCCTCCCGAGTAGCTGGGATTACAGGCACACACCACCATGCCTGGCTAAGTTTTGTAGTTTTAGTAGAGCTGGGGTTTCGCTATGTTGGCCAGGCTGATCTTGAACTCCTGACCTCAGGTGATCTACCTGCCTCGGCCTCCTGTAGTACTGGGATTACAGGTGTGAGCCACCACACCTGTCCAGTTTACAGTTGTATCTAATCACTGTCCTTTGCTTTATTTTCTTTTTCCTCGTGGTATATTTTTAAAATTTTGAACCATTATTAAATAATTGTTATTGAATAAACATAGAAATTGAACCATCTTAAGACTGACTTTCTAAATGGGGTTAGAATGGGAATTGGATCTATGAGCAATGCTAATCAGTAAATGCCATTAGTTATTGATGGCTCAGTGTTTTTTGTTGTTGCTGTTGTTGTTGTTGTTTTGAGACAGAGTTTCGCTCTTCTTGCGCAGGATGGAGTGCAGCAGTGGTGCGATCTTGGCTCACTGCAACCTCCACCTCCCTGGTTCAAGCAATTCTCCAGCCTCAGCCTCCCAAGTAGCTGGGATTACAGGCATGCACCATCACACCCAGCTAATTTTGTATTTTTAGTAGAGATGGGGTTTTATCATGTTGGCCAGGCTGGTCTCGAACTCCTGACCTCAGGTAATCTGCCCACCTCGGGCTCCCAAAGTGCTGGGACTACAGGTGTGAGCCACCGCACCTGGCCTACTCAGTCAGTATTTTTTACACTGTGCTTAGACTTACCCTCGGTACCATGTTTGCTTTGCATTCTTAGAAGATAGTCTGATTTATTTAATGTTCATATTGGAATGTGCTTTTTCTTTTCAATAGACACAACAAGAGGAGGAAGTTCTTTGTTGACCCCCGTTGCCACCCACAGACAATAGCTGTTGTCCAGACTCGAGCCAAGTAATTAATTTTATTCGTGTTTTAAACTCAGGATAATGTCATGTTCATCTCTGCTGTTTCTTTCTCTTTCTTACTTCCAAACTGATTGGAGGTGAATCTGAAACAGGCTTTTTTGCGGTTTAAATTGGGGTTCTGAGTTTTGCCTTCCCTCTTACTTTCTTCCGGGGATCTCTCTGGTAAGTAAGCTGTGTCAGAATTGAGTGGGGAAATACACAGTTGCCATTGCTTTACAGTAAGTTGTTGTGTTGTGTTTTCTTTTTGTGAAAAGAAAATAAAAATATTGTTTTGATTAGGTTTTGGAAAGTTTGAAAAAAAAATGGGACTCACATACAACTGTTATGATTTTGTGTGTATTCCTGGCAAACGTAGTTTACAGACGATGCACAGAGTCTCTAGGTGAGATGCGATATAGTTTAAAGTGTGGTGCCTTTTGTTCGTGCTGTAATCAGGTAAAACAAACCTCGCAACGACCGCTATTTGTAGGTATTTGCTTTCTCCTTTGTAAAAGTTGAGCATTCTTTCCTCTACCCACACCACCATCCCTTCAGAGGAGGGTTTCCGACATATAATTGGCATTAGTTTCAGCAATCTAAGGAAGTTCTTCCTCCTTGTCTTTTTTTTTTTTTTTTTGAGACTCTGTCGCCCAGGCTGGAGTGCAGTGGTGCGACTTCTGCTCATTGCAATCTCCACCTCCCCGGTTCATGCTATTCTCCTGCCTCAGCTTCCTGAGTAGCTGGGACTACAGGCGCCCGCCACCACGCCTGGCTAATTTTTTTGTATTTTTAGTAGAGACGGGGTTTCACTGTGTTAGCTGAGATGGTCTTGATCTCCTGACCTCATGATCCACTCGCCTCAGCCTCCCAAAGTGCTGGGATTACAGGTGTGAGCCACTGCACCCGCTCCGCTCCCTCCTTGTCTTACTGATGGTTTTCTATTCACTTGAGAGTGATCCCAGGTGAAAGAGGTGATGGCTCTGTTGTTACAAATATTGGCTCATTAGCCCTAGGAAGCAATACTCCTGGGTCTCTCTCAGGAAGAGATTGTGACAGGAAAAGGCAAAGGGGAGTCATAGGATGGAAGAGAGGAACAGAAGCAGAGCTGTCGGATGCTCTTGAGTTGCTGTGACACGGTTACCACTGAAGGACCTGGTGTGGGATGGGATGGGGCAGGGGTGGGAGGACACTGTGGGAGGGCACAGAAAATGAATGCTGTCTTACTGAAAAAGAAGCGTTAGTTAATTAATTTTCCCTTGCAAACCAAAAGCACAATTGTTCTTTGTTGTCTGTCTTTCCAGATACACTGGAGTCCTCACTGAGCTGAAGTTACCCTGTGAAATGGACTTCAGTGGAAAAGATGTCAGCGGAGTGTTGTTCCAGTACCCAGACACGGAAGGGAAGGTGGAAGACTTTACGGAACTCGTGGAGAGAGCTCATCAGAGTGGGGTAGGCATACCTTTCTTGTGGGGGTCCATGGAGGTGTATCCCAACTTGTGTCTGTCTGTCTACCTGTCTCTCTCTCTGTCTTTTCATGTGCCTTAATTTCTTTACCGTTATCACATGCGATGGTAAAACTCTCCTTCCTGCCTCCTTGCTGCAACTTTGTTCTGTTCACTGATTCCTGGCACATCATGGGCACTCAGTACATATTTACTGAATGAATGAATGAATGAGCAAATGGAGTTCACAGGATGTGAACATACTCTGCCAGTCTTCCTGTAGTTAAGGTAATTTGCTACTCTCCCACTACTCTCAGGGAAAGGTAGCGATCTTACGCCTTTTCTCTTTTCTCTCATTTCCTTTCTAGAGCCTGGCCTGCTGTGCTACTGACCTTTTAGCTCTGTGCATCTTGAGGTCACCTGGAGAATTTGGGGTAGACATCGCCCTGGGCAGCTCACAGAGATTTGGAGTGCCACTGGGCTATGGGGGACCCCACGCAGCCTTTTTTGCTGTCCGAGAAAGCTTGGTGAGAATGATGCCTGGAAGAATGGTGGGGGTGACAAGGTAAAGGGGCTCATGTTTCTCTCCTTTTATTGTGATTATGATTTCCCTGATTCCTTCTGACCACAGATGTTGATTTCTATCTGAATTCAACTGGGCCATGTTGAGTCAGTTAAGGAAATATACAACATAGATTCAGAAGAACAATTCTGTTTGGGGTATGAGCTAGTACTTCTCAAATACCGTAAATTTGTAAAGTTTTGAAAAATTTTGTGTATAATTTATAATGTATCGAAGTCATATAATGCATTTGCTTAGGTTGATGGAAGCCTTGAAAGACTATATATTTTAGGCATGTTTTGTGTTTAGACAGTTTTGTTCTCAAAAGCATTATGCCACACGGCTCTGTAAAGACAAATGCGCTGAAAGACTACAAAGCACACACTGAGTTTGCTCCGCGTTCCTTCCTAGAGGCTTCCGCCACATGGCCATTTGAGTAATTTCCAGATTTCCAAATGTAGTTTCCTGATTGCTTCTCATTGGTGAAACTTCTCAGATTAAAAACGTAGGTGTTCAGAAGTAGTCTTTGTTCCTTAAAAAAAAAAAAGAAAAAAAAGGGCCGGGTGCAGTGGCTCACACCTGTAATCCCAGCATTCTGGGAGGCTGAGTTGGGCAGATCACAAGGTCAGCGAGTTTTGAGACCGCCTGGCCAATATGGTGAAACCCTGTCTCTACTAAAAACACAAAAAACTAGCTGGCCGTGGTGGCAGGTGCCACTACTGGGAGTAGTGCCAGCTACTCGGGAGACTGAGCCAGGGAGAATCACTTGAACCTGGCGGTGGAGGTTGCAGTGACCCAGATGGCGCCGCTGCACTTCAGCTTGGGCGACAGAAGCGAAACTCCATCTCAAAATAAAAAGGAGGCCGGGCGCGGTGGCTCACGCCTGTAATCCCAGCACTTTGGGAGCCGAGGCGGGCGGATCACAAGGTCAGGAGATCGGAGACCATCCTCGCAAACATGGTGAAACCCCATCTCTACAAAAATAGAAAAAATTAGCCGGGCGCAGTGGCGGGCGCCTGTAGTCCCAGCTACTCGGGAGGCTGAGGCAGGAGAATGGCGTGAACCTGGGGAGGCGGAGCTTGCAGTGAGCCGAGATTGCGCCACTGCACTCCAGCCTGGGCGACAGAGCAAGGACTCCGTCTCAAAAAAAAAAAAAAAAAAAGGAAGGAAAAAAAGGAGGCGGGGACCTAGATGCATTCCAGGATTATTACTGGGGAAATTTAGAGAAAAGATTATCTTTTTGACCTTTTATAAAAGCTGGAGTTTAACGTGAGTAGCTGAATTAGTGAATGATGTGATGATAATGTGAAGTGTGTGTTTTAAAATTTTATTTGTTACTTATTTATTTTGAGACCAAATCTCACTCTGTCACCCAGGCTGGAGTGCAGTGGTATAAACATGGCCACTGTGTCCAACTAATTTTTAAAATTTTTTGTAAAAACAGGGTTTTACCATATTGCTCAGGGTGGTCTTAGGGCCCAAGTGATCTGCCCACCCCAGCCTCCCAAAATGCTGGGATTTACAGGTGTGAGCCACCATGCCTGGCCCCTGTATACTTTAAATCATCTTATAACACTAATGTTATGCTCTAGTTGTTACACTGTATTGTTTTTAAAAATTTGTGTGAATTTTTTTTTTTTTTTTTTTTTTGAGACGAAATCTCACTGTCACCCAGGTTGGAGTGCAGTGATATGATCTTGGCTCACTGCAACCTCCGCCTCCTAGGTTCAAGTGATTCCCGAGCCTCAGCCTCCTGAGTAACTGGGATTACAGGTGCCTGTCACCATGTCTGGCTAATTTTTGTATTTTTAGTAGAAATGGGGTTTCATCATGTTGGTCAGGCTGGTCTCGAACTCTGGACCTCAGGTAATCCGCCCGCCTTGGCCCCTCAAAGTGCTGAGATTATAGGCATGAGCCACCATGCCCGGCTCATAAAATTTGTGTGAGTTTTAATTGTTGTATTATTTTTTAGTTTTTCAAATGTTTTCAGTCTGTGATTGGTTGAATCTGTGGTGCAGAATCCACAGAGAGCCAACTCTTTTCAATTTCGTCAGCTATTTCCACTTTTCCTGTGTCTCCTGAGAAGTTCAGAGTGAAACTTAATCCTCCCAGTCACCATTATTATATTCATCTGGGAAATTCCTGCAAAATTTTCTTTCAAAAGTCCTAGACTTATTGTATATATCTTGGTGTCTCAGAGTACAATCTAAAAATCAGTAATCCTGCTGGGCACAGTGGCTCATGCCTGTAATCTCAGCTTTGGGAGGCTGAGGCGGGTGGATCACCTGAGGTCAGGAGTTTGAGAGCAGCCTGGCCAACATGGTGAAACCCTGTCTCTACTAAAAATACAAAAATTAGCCGGGCGTGGTTTCGGGAGGCTGAGGTAGGAGAATTGCTTGAAACCAGAAGACGGAGGTTGCAGTGAGCCGAGATCACGCCATTGCACTCCAGCCTGGGCAAAAGAGTGAAACTGTCTCAAAAAAAAAAAAAAAAATCAGTAATCCTGTTTAGACGAGGAACGTTTAGAAATTGTTTCTTTATGAACTTGCACCCAAGTGCATTTGCTGAATTAACTTCAAGCTGGGAAGGAAAGAAGTAATTCTATTTATAGCAGCCCCTAGTGCCGTGATTATCTGTGCTAACTGGTTGCCTTATTCTTGGTGTAGAGACACCACTGGGAAAGAAGTGTATCGTCTTGCTCTTCAAACCAGGGAGCAACACATCCGGAGAGACAAAGCTACCAGCAACATCTGTACAGCTCAGGTAAATCACATGTCTGACCTGACTACTGAATGCCTTATGATATACAGAAATGAGCTACTCATTCATTCATTCATTTATTCACCACCTCCTGAGCAGTGAGCACACCAGAAATGGCAAGATCTTATTGGTGTAGAAGGCTCGTTGTCTTATGAGAACCAAAATACAGTGTTGGTTGGGTGTGGTGGCTCGTGCCTATAATCCCAGCACTTTGTGAGGCCAAGGTAGGCAGTTTGCTGGAGCCCAGGAGTTGGAAACCCGCCTGGGTGACATGGCAAAACCCCGTCTCTATGAAAAATAAAATAAAATAAATTAGCTGGCAGTGGTGGTATGCTCCTGTAGTTCCAGGTGCTAGGGAGGCTCAGGTAGGAGGATCACCAGAACCTGGGAGGTTGAGGCTGCAGTGAGCCATGATCATGCCACTGCACTCCAGCCTGAGTGACAGAGGGAGACTATGTCCCCAACTCCTGCCCCTCACAAAAAAAGTTGAAAAAAATACACTATGTTTTACTGGTGTTCTCTCTATGCACACCCTTTGCCTATGCATTCTCTTCACCATAAATGTTTTAATATTTTAAAAAAAAAGGGCATTATTGGTTTCATTTTACCCATAATCACATCTTCATATCCTGAGTAGGCTAAGCTTAAGAAAGGACAAAAGAGGCTACTCTTCACTTTTACATACACACTTAAAATATGTGTAAATAGAAAGATGGATATCAGGGTCTCTAGTGTTCTTAGCATCTGGCCAGGTTTGTTGTGGGTGACAGTTGAGACACCCTGTCTTAGGGCTGAGAAGGAGCCTCTCCAGGAATGGGTTGAGGAAGGCAAATGAGGGCATTTGAGATGACTGCTTGAGGGGATGGTGGTAGTCACGAGGCACTCTTACTTGGAGATTATGACCTGCATTCTTTTTTTTGAGACAGAGTCTCACTCGGTTGCCCAGGCTGGAGTGCAGTGGTGCAATCTCAGCTCACTGCAACCTCTGCTACCCGTGTTCAAGCAATTCTCCTGCCTCAGCCTCCTGAGTAACTGGGATTACAGGTGCCTGCCACCACGTCATGCTAGTTTTTGTATTTTTAGTACAGACAGGGTTTCACTGTCTTGGCCAGGTTGGTCTTGAACCCCTGACGTCGTGATCCACCCACCTCAGCCTTCCAAAGTACTGGGATTACAGATGTGAGCCACTGCACCCGGCCATGTCTGGCATTCTTTAAAAGGATGGGACAAAGTAGGAAGAGTTTCCTGGGTTCTGACCAGGGTTCTGGGTTCTGCTCCTTAAAGTTGCTCTAGGGCTTAGGTCGACGTGTTTGTGAAACCCAGCCAGCCCCTAGGATCAGCTGGAGGCCCACTCCTGAGCACAGGATCCATTCTAAGTACATCTCTCTCTCTTTTTTTTTTTTTTGCTTTGAGACAGAGTCTTGTTCCTCCGTCACCCAGGCTGGAGTGGGGTGGCACAATCTTGGCTCACTGCAACCTCTGCCTCCTGGGTTCAAGTGATTCTTGTGCGTCAGCCTCCTGAATAGCTGGAATTATAGGCACATGCCATCACACTCAGATAATTTTTGTATTTTTAGTAGAGGCGGGTTTCATCATGTTGGCCAGGTTGGTCTCAAACTCCTGACCTCAAGTGATGGTCCTGCCTGGGCCTCCCAAAGTCCTGGGATTATAAGTGTGAGCCATGGCACCTGGCCTCTTTTTTTTTTTTTTCTTGAAACAGATTCTTGCTCTGTTGCCCATTCTAAAGTGCAGTGGCATGGTCATAGCTCACTGCAGCCTCAACCCTCAACCTCCAGGGCTCAAATGATTCTCCGGCCTCAGTCTCCTAAGTAGCTGGGACTGTGGGTACATTCCACCACACCCAGCTGATTTTCAAAAAAATGTTTTGTAGAGACGAGGTCTCGCTTTGTTGCTCAGGTTGGTCTCAAACTCCTGAGCTCAAGTGATCCTATCTTGGCCTCCCATAGTGATAGGATTATAGGCATGAGCCACCATGCGTGGCCATTGTAATTGCATCTCTTCTATGAAGTGTCAGAAAGAGATATCACAGATACTTCAATGGGAGGTATAGTGCTCTTTTGTCTCAGGGCTTTGGCATCTAGAACCACCTCTGAAAAGCTTCTCCAGGAAAGCAGTGGTCAATAAGATCTTCTTATAGTTGGTTCTGCAGCCACGGGTCTTTGGAGCCATTTCCTCAGTTGGTCCTTTTGTATTATGTTTTGCCTCAGGAAAGTGCCACCTCTTTTCAAATAAGAGCTCTTCCAGTATCGTAGGAAGGAAAGCTGGTTGGCACAAGCTTTTCCTCTTTAAACAGCAAGCTGATCTTTATTTATTTATTTGTTTTTGTTTTTTGGTTTGTTTGTTTGTTTGTTTTTTGAGATAGACTTTTGCTCTGTCACCCAGGCTGGAGTGCAGTAGTGCGATCTCAGCTCACTGAAACCTCTGCCTCCCGGGTTCAAGCGATTCTTCTGCCTCAGTCTCCTGAGTAGCTGGGATTACAGGCACCCACCACCATGCCTGACTAATATTTTTTGTATTTTTAGAAGAGATGGGGTTTCACCATGCTGGCCAGGCTGGTCTCGAACTCCTGGCCTCAGGTGATCCACCCACCTCAGCCTCCCAAAGTGCTGGGATTACAGGGATGAGTCAGTGTGCCCAGCCTTATGTTCCTGTAGCTTAATTTCTTCCAGTTCATGTATAGCTGATAATTTATTATTTAACTTGGGTTGAAAGGTCTGTATCTTTTCCAGCAATTGTTAAAATGTTTGCCCTGGAGATGGCCATACTCCAGCTTGTGTGATTTTCATCCTCTTATTTTGATGATCTTCTAACTCTTCGTTGTCTAATTCACTGCATATGTGTCTTTTCATAATTGATTGCATAAAAGAATTACTCATAACTGCAGTTTCACTCTTTGTAAGCATGCAAGTCTCCCTGTTTTGTCAGGAGATGACTGGTGTCTTTTGAGTTGCTCCTTTTGTGCTGTAGGTCTTTGACCCACGCATTCTGTTGTAGCAGCTGTTCCACATTCTTCTCACTCTTGTTCTTCTGTCTTGGCACTGGGGGATCCACTCTTAGTTTTGTATCATTGATGGGGTATAACTCTTTTTTACTCTGAAAGTGTATTAATGAATTCTTTTTTAAATAAAATTTTCTCTAGGGAGTCTCTCTGAGCCTATTCTGGCTCAACAGGCCCCATTCTAAAACAAAACCAAAAAAACAGGGTGTGGTGGCTCACACCTGTAATCTCAACACTTTGGGAGGCCAAGGCAGGAGGACTGCTTGAGTCCAGGAGTTCATATCTATCCCAGGCAACATAGTGAGACTGCTGTCTTTACAAAAAAGTACAAAAATTAGCCAGGCATTGTGGTGCACACCTGTATCCCAGCTACTCAGGAGGCTGAGGTGGGAGGATTGCTTGACCCTGGAAGGTCCAGGCTGCAGTGAGCTGTGATCATGCCACTGCACTCCAGCCTGGGTGACAGAACCAGACCCCACCTCTACAAAACAAAAAGGAAAAGAAACAATTTTTCTATAAATTTGTGGCATTACTACAGATGTCTGAATTTTCGTTATGTTCTGTTCTTTATATTCTCTTATTTCTTAGCTTCTACCACAATGAGCAGCTCTTTGATTAGCTGTTCTTATTTTTAACATAAAAATCTTTCTAAAATAGAGATGGGAGTCTTACTTTGTTGCCCAGGCTAGTCTTGACCTCCAGGCCTCAAGTGATCCTCCTGCCTCAGCCTCCCAAAGTGTTGGGATCACTGGTGTGAGCCACTGCGTCCAGCCTTGTTGGCTTTTCTAAAGTCAGGTGTAGTAAGGAATAATTTACGCTTTATTAGTTTTTTTATTGAGATGTAACTCACCATAAGTTTCACCCATTGCAAGTATGCAGCTCAATGGCTTTTATTATATTTACAAGGTTGTGTAACTATCACCAGTATTTAATTTCAGAATATTTTTATTACCCCAAAAATAAATTTTAGTCCTATGAAGTAATCACTCCTCATCCCTCTCCCTTTCCTATAGCCCCTGGCAACTGCTATTCTACTTTCTGTCTCCCTAGATTTGCCTATTCTGAATATTCACATAAATGGGATCATACAACGTGTGGCCTTTTGTACCTGGCTTCTTTGGTATAAGGTTTTCAAGGTTCATCCATATTGTAGATGAATGGTACTTAATTCTTTTTTTTTTTTTTTTTTTTTTTTTTTTGAGACGGAGTCTCGCTCTGTCACCCAGGCTGGAGTGCAGTGGCCGGATCTCAGCTCACTGCAAGCTCCCGCCTCCGGGTTCACGCCATTCTCCTGCCTCAGCCTCCCGAGTAGCTGGGACTACAGGGCCCTGCCACCTCGCCGCGGCTTAAGTTTTGTATTTTTTAGTAGAGACGGGGTTTCACTGTGTTAGCCAGGATGGTCTCGATCTCCTGACCTCGTGATCCGCCGTCCTTGGCCTCCCAAAGTTCTGGGATTACAGGCTTGAGCCACCGCGCCCGGCGTACTTAATTCTTTTCTATGGCTGGGTAACATCCCATTGTTTGGACATGCCACATTTTGTTTATCCATTCATCAATTGGTAAACATTTGGAGTGTTTTAAATAAGCCTGCTGTGAACATTTCTGTGTAAATTTTTGTGTGGATGTGATGTTTTCAGTTCTCTTGGGTATATTCCTAGCAGTGAAATTGCTGGGTCATATAACTCTACATTTAACATTTTGAGGAACTTCCAGACATTTTCCAAAGTGGCTGCATTATTTTACTTTCCTACCAGCAGCATATGAATATTCTAATTTGTCCGTATTTTCACCAATGTTTATTACTGCCTATCCTTTGGTTATAGCCATCCTATTGGATGTGAAGTGATAATCTCATTGTGGTTTTGTTTTGCATTTCCCTAATAACTAATAATTTTGAACATTCATTAGCTTTTGATGCTTTTAAGTACCTTAATTGTATTATGGTTATTTTATTTATTTATTTTAGAGATGGGGTCTTGCTACGTTCTTCTTTCTCATCTTGAACTCCTGGGCTAAAGCAATCCTCCTACCTTAGCCTCCCAAAGTCTTGGAATTACAGGCGTGAGCCACCGATTCAAGCCCATTGTATTTTTAAGTTTGTCCAATTTGTGGAAGAAATTGTCATTTTCTTGGTCTCTATGTTAATTTCTTGGTTCTTCTTTTGATATTCTAATGCCCTTTGAAGTTTTTAAAAAGTGGTTTTACACTTCTCATCAATGTGTTGTTCAACTGTGTGTTATAGCCTTCTGATTATGGAAGGAATCATCTCTAGATTAAAAAGAGACATGAACCAACCTCTACAATATTGTGGTGGAGGCTTCCAGGGCATTCTGTGAATGTCAGGCCTGGGTTTCTGTTCCCCAGCAACACAGCCATGAGCATTTGGGCACAGTGTGTCACAGAATCTTTACCTCAGCCTTTCCTTCTCCACAGTTGTAAAGTGCTGTGGATTTTCTGTATTTATTTCTGATTTTTTTGTTTGTTTGTTTGTTTTAGACGAGTCTCGCTCTGTCCCCCAGGCTGGATTGCAGTGGCGCGATCTCAGCTCACTGCAAGCTCTGCTTCCCAGGTTCAAGCAATTCTCTACCTCAGCCTCCTGAGTAGCTGGGACTACAGGCACCCGCCACCACGCCCAGCTAATTTTTTTGTGTTTTTAGTAGAGATGGGGTTTCAGCATCTTGGCCAGGCTGGTCTTGAACTCCTGACCTCGTGATCCACCTGCCTCGGCCTCCCAAAGTGCTGAGAATACAGGCATGAGCCACCGCACCCAGCCTATTTCTGATTGTTGTAAGCAGTTCACAAGAGTGTTTACACTTTGTCTAAGACTTTTAGTACAAGAAGTACAAGAACATCTATTTCCGTGTTTTCTGATGTTTCTATCTCCTCATTTACTTCATTGTCTGCCGACTTCACCTTTGGAAACTGTTTCTTATTTTGCATTGGCTCCATAGAGATTTCCTCTAGCAGTCTAGCAGAAAAAAAGATGTACCTAACAAAATGGACTCAGTATTGAACATCAACTGTATTGTGCAGAGACATGGTTTCGTGTTGTCAACAAAGCTGGAGTCCAGTGGCACAATCATAGGTCACTGTAACCTCAGAATCCTGGGTTCAAGTGATCCATCTCGGCTTCTGGAGTCACTGGGACTACAATTGCACACCACCCTGCTCCCAGCTGAAGTGCACATTTCCATTTTTGCCAGTCCTTTGCCACAAATTCTCCATTCAACTCTTGGTTGGCAGAAGTTCAACCTCTAGTGTTTTATTTAAGGTCTTAGGAGAATTTTATTCCCAAAGTTCTTGAATGTTTGAAAATTGCTTGTTCCTTTTTATTCTTGAAGAATTGCCTGATTGAGTGTAAAATTCTCAGATCTCACTTTTTCTCCCTGAGATCTTTATTGCTTCACTGTCTTCCAACATTAAATATTGCTTCTCAATATCTGATAGTAGTGTGATCTTTGCCCTTAAGGGTGACATGATTTCTTTGCATGGAAGAAGCCCTTTGTAATGGTCAAATGTGAAGGTTTAGTATAGTAATAACTCCAGGGTGTCTTGGATGCTGGTTCCCTTCAGGTAGTCAGGCAGGTTATACATTAATTGTCCACAACTATCAAAGAATGTAGGCAATCTCATCATTTTGTTTTGTCCCTGTCTTCAGTTTTGGCACCCCAAGTCAGGTAATTACTCCCTCCCACTAATTGTCTTCCATCACGTGATTCTTTAAATGATTCTTTAAATGTTCTTATCTTTTAGGCCCTCTTGGCGAATATGGCTGCCATGTTTGCAATCTACCATGGTTCCCATGGGCTGGAGCATATTGCTAGGAGGGTACATAATGCCACTTTGATTTTGTCGGAAGGTGAGTTGGTAATCTGTCTAAAACGTTTGAGCATAATAAAATTGATAAAGTTCAGTAAGTAAAATTGAAAATATTGTATATCCAATACTGTATGCAAAATTAAGTCAAATGAGAATCCAGGAAAAATACTTTCAACACCTATGATTGAGTATTTTGTTGTTGTTTTCTTTCTTTCTTTCTTTCTTGCTTTCTTGCTTTCTTGTTTTCTTTCTTGTTTTCTTTCTTGCTTGCTTGCTTTCTTGTTTTCTTTCTTGCTTGCTTGCTTGCTTGCTTGCTTGCTTGCTTCATGGAGTCTTGCTCTGTCTGTCTCCCAGGCTGGAGTGCAGTGGCACGATCTCTGCTCGCTGTAACCTCCGCCTTCTGGATTCAAGTGATTGTCCTGCCTCAGCCTCTCGGGTAACTGGGATTAAGGTACATGCCACCATGTCTGGCTAATTTTTGTATTTTTGGTAGAGACAGGGCTTTGCCATGTTTTCCAGGCTGGTCTCGAACTCCTGACCTCAAGTGATCCACCCACCTCAGCCTCTCAAAGTACTAGGATTACAGGCGTGAGCCACCATGCCTGGCCTAGACTAAGTGTTAACATTTTTTTCTCTTTTACCCCTGGCAAGCTGTGATATTTTTAATATATAAGACTCTTACTCTCCCACCAGCCCCAAACATAGAAGGATGAACACCTTAATAGAAAGATAGGCAAAAGACATTAAATGTAATTTTAAAAGAAATAAGTATACAAATAAATGGTCAATAGACATAGAATTTTAGCCTCACTATTAATGAAAGAGATATAAAATAAAGCAATAAACTAGTATTTATCCCATTACATTGATAATCAGAAGAATGCTGCTGTGTAGTGAGTTGGACATGGTTACTCGTGTCTGTAATTTCAGCTAGTCTGGAGGCTGAGCCAGGAGGATTGCTTGAGGCCAGGAGTTCAAGACCAGCGTGGGCAAGAGCGAGACTGCATCTCTATAAAAAACAAAAATAGTCCAGGCACAGTGGCTCACATCTGTAATCCTAGCACTCTGGGAGGCTGAGGCAGGTGGATCACTTGAGGTCAGGAGTTCAAGAGCAGCCTGGCCAACATAGTGAAACCCTGTCTCTACAGTAAATACAAAAATCAGCTCGGTGTGGTGGCACACACCTGTAGTCCCAGCTACTCGGGAGGCTGAGGCAGGAAAATCGCTTGAACCTGGGAGGCGGAGGTTGCAGTGAGCTGAGATCACTCTACTGTACTCCATCCTGGGGGACAGAGTGAGACTGCATCTCTCAAAAAAAAAAAAAAAGTGATTCAATCATGTGCATCCGTATGTTTGACTATTATACAGCCATTAAAAATGATTTAAGATAGTAATCTATAGGAAAGCATAGATGAGACCAGGTGTGGTTGTTCACACCTATAATCCCATCATTTCCGGAAGCTGAGGTGGGAGAATTGCTTGAGTCCCAGAGTTCAAGGCCAGCCTGGGCAACAAGGCAAGATCACTATCTTCAAAAATTTAAAAAAATTATTAGCCGGGTGTGGTGTCATGAGCCCTTGATCCCAGTTACTTGGGAGGCTGAGGCAAGGGGATTGCATGAGCTTGAGCCCAGGAGTCTGAGGATGCAATCAGCTATGATCGTACCACTGCATTTCACCCTGGACAACAGAGTGAGACCCTATCTCTAAAAAGAAAAAAGAAAAAAAAAAAGACCGGGCGCAGTGGCTCACGCCTGTAATCCTGGCACTTTGGGAGGCCGAGGCAGGCAGATCATGAGGTCAGGAGATCAAGACCATCCTGGCCAACACGGAGAAACCCCGTCTCTACTAAAAAAATTAGCTGGGTATAGTGGCGGGTGCCTGTAGTCCCAGCTACTTGGGAGGCTGAGCCAGGAGAATGGCGTGAACCTGGGAGGCGGGGCTTGCAGTGAGCTGAGATCATGCCACTGTACTCCAGCCTGGGCAACAGAGCGAGACTCCATCTCCATCTCAAGAAAAAAAAAAAAAGGTATATATATCTGGTATTACCTGCTCCCCCATTTCTTGAGAAATAATACACCAAAATGTAAGCAATAATGCAATGGTATGGTGATTTTCCTTACTCTTTGATATGTATTTCATAATTTTCTACAGCGTAATAATAAACACGTTTAGTTTTTTAAAAAGCAGTCACCAAAACACTCCCCAGGACCAGCAAGAGTCTAGTAGAATTTATCTCTATTATTCTGTGACATGTCAATGGTTGAAGAGCAGGTTTCTGTATCAGAGATTGGGGTTCTCCTATCTTGTGTAGGTCTCAAGCGAGCAGGGCATCAACTCCAGCATGACCTGTTCTTTGATACCTTGAAGATTCAGTGTGGTTGCTCAGTGAAGGAGGTCTTGGGCAGGGCTGCTCAGCGGCAGATCAATTTTCGGCTCTTTAAGGATGGCACGGTAAGTCAAATTTTCAGTATTTTTACCAGTTTTTCAAATTTTCACATCCCTTCTCATTAAAAGCTTTTCTGTGTTTTTAAAAAATCAAAAGTAAAACTTTAGGCACAGTCTATTTTTTCATGAAGAAGTGTTATTTACAATATGCAATACTGTGATCTTTTCAGTAAAGGATCATTCACCCTTTGCTTTCTTTTAGACTTTGTGTTTTCATATGTGGGACTGAAATGCACATATTTTGCTTATAATTGAAGGGGTGGCCTGCCCCTCCACACCTGTGGGCATTTCTCATTAGGTGGAACGAGAGACTTGAGAGAAGAAATGAGACACAGAGACAAATAAAGAGAAAGAAAAAGTGGGCCCAGGGGACCAGCGCTCAGCTTACAGAGGACCCACGCCGGCACCGGTCTCTGAGTTCCCTCAGTATTTATTGATCATTATCTTTACCACCTTAGAAAAAGGGAAGTGGCAGGATAATAGGATCATCTTAGGGAGAAGGTCAGCAGTAAGACGTATGAATAAAGATCTCTGTGACATGAATGAGTTTAAGGAAAAGTGCTATGCCTTGATATGCATATGCAAACATCTCCATAAACATTTTTAGTGCATAAAGAGCAGCATTGCACTAGCAAGTCCCACCTTTCGCCCTAAGGCGATTTTCTCCCATCTTAGTAAATAGAACATACAATCGGATTTTACACCGAGATGTTCCACTGCCCAGGGATGGGCAGGAGACAGATGCTTTTCTCTATCTCAACTGCCAAGAGGCCTTCTTTCCACTTATACTAGTCCTCCTCAGCACAGACCCTTCACAGGTGTCAGGCTGGGGGATGATCAGGTCTTTCCCTTCCCATGAGGCCATATTTCAGACTATCACATGGGGAGAAACCTTGGACAATACCTAGCTTTCCTAGGCAGAGGTCCCTGCGACCTTTGGCAGTGTACATGTCCCTGGGTACTTGAGATTAAGAGAATGGTGATGACTTTTCACAAGCATACTGCCTTCAGGCACTTGTTTAACAAAACACACCCTGCACAGCCCCAAATCCTTTAAACCTTGAGTCACCACAGCACACGTCTCTTGCAAGGACAAGGTTGGGGGTAGGGTCACAGATTAACAGCATCTCAAATACAGAATAAAATGGAGTCTCTTATGTCTACTTCTTTCTATATAGACACAGTAACAGTCTGATCTCTCTTTCTTTTCCCGACAATAATACTCCTCTCTTCACAGTGTGACTGACTTTAAGATAAAGACTCTGATAACTGATACGGTAAAGTAGATTAAGGGAAGAAAAAGATAAGCATGTCTAGCTTCAAAAGGAGTGTCCTGAAGCCATGGAATGTTAGAGTTCAGAGGTGGCTGGCAAAACTCGAAGCCTTGGGAAGCCTGGGACTGGTCTAGCCACCTTCCTGTAAGCCTTAGCTTGGATATAATTGTACCCTGATATTTTGGAATGATGGGATTTCTCCCCTTTGACCTCTCTTGGGATTCCTCCAGTGATCTTGGAGTTTAGAGTTGATGTTTTCCATTTTGTTTTTGTTTCTGTAGCTTGGTATTTCTCTTGATGAAACAGTCAATGAAAAAGATCTGGACGATTTGTTGTGGATCTTTGGTTGTGAGTCATCGGCAGTAAGTAAAATAAAAGCACACATTCCCCATCATGGCTATTAGAGGTGGTAGTGAAGGTAGCTTATCCCCTGAGTGTGAGGGAGAAGGGGCTCAAGTGTGACACTGGTAGCTTGTTGTTAAAATTATTCCACTGTCACTTGCTGGTCACTGCTGACAGCTGGAGGCCACTGCTATAGGGCTTCAGCCAGTATTATGCAGCCAGGCTAGTTGGAAAGATGGTTAATGGTGTTTCACTGAACATGCCTCTAGGCTAGGCACGGTGGCTCACGCCTGTAATCCCAGCACTTTGGGAGATCAATGGGGGATGGATCACCTGAGGTCAGGAGTTCGAGACCAGCCTGACCAACATGGAGAAACCCCGTCTCTGCTGAAAATACAAAATTATCCAGGCGTGGTGGTGCATACCTGTAATTCCAGCTACTCAGGAGGCTGAGGCGGGAGAATCACTTGAACCCGGGAGGTGGAGGTTGCAGTGAGCTGAGATTGCACCATTGCACTCTAGCCTGGGCAACAAGAGCAAAACTCCATCTCAGAAAAAAAAAGAAAAAAGAAAGAAACTGCCTCTAATATAAAGATGCAAGACATTGGTATCTTGGTTATGTCATTCATTGGAAAACTATGATATTCATTTAATACATATTTATTGAGGACCCAATATGTATCAGGTGCTATGCTAGGCCCTGAGGACACAGTGGTGAATTAGACATGCTTCTTGTCCTCATGGAGCTTACAGTTTATTAGGGATTCAGATAAGCTTAAGATTAGAATCCAGGTGGGTGATGTGTGAAGATGTTCTGGGAGCTCACAGGATGAGCTCCTTACTAACAAGATGAGCAGGAGTTATCTAGACCAAGATGGCACAATAGAGGGAAAGGAAGATGGGGTCCCAGTGTTCTAGACACTGGAGAAAGCAGTCACAAAGGCTGGGAGAGGGAGTACATGAAAGTTATAAGCAGTTCAGTGTAATGAGTTACTTTCTAAAATACGAAGAAGCGGGGACAAGCAAGAGAAGAGTTACTATTCCATGGGATGAGAGTGAAAGAGAGCAGACAGTAGCTACCTAGACCTCTGGCAAGGTGTTAATCACAACAGCCTACGCTGCCTGGTGTGTATTAATCACTAAGTAAATATTTGTTAAATGGATAGATGAAAGGAAGTAGAAATACCTTCCAGAGTGCTGAGTGGTGCTGTCCTGCTTATCTGTGCTCTCTTTGAGAGAGGACTTCAAAGGGTTATAACAGATAACATTCATAAATCATCAAAGAAGCATCACGGTGTTCTCTTTTAAAGCTCAATTAATAAACAGGACTGAGTTAGCTCCTTCTCTGTAGAACTCTGCACTAAATTTAATCAGTGGTTAAATTTGGTTCATGCATTTCAGAAATGTTTCTGGAGCATCACTAAGGAGTCAACAGGGCCATTGTTTTAGTTCATTTGCATTGGAGTACCTGAGGCTAAGTAATTTATAAATAAAAGAGGTTTATTTGGCTCATGGTTCTGCAGGGTGTGCTGTGCAAGAAGCATCTGTTTCTGGTGAGGGTTTCAGGAAGCTTCCTCTCGTGGAAGAAGGGGAAGGGGAGCAGGTATCACATGGTGAAAGAAAAAGGAAAAGAGAGAGGAGGGAGGTGCCAGACTCTTTTTAGCAATCATTTCTCATCAGTTCTCATGGGAACTAGTAGAGTGAGAACTCACTCATTACTGTGAAGACAGCACCAAGCCCATCTTCAACACTGGGGATCACATTTCACCTTGAGATCTGGAGGGGACAAGTATTCAATCTGTATTAGTCATGTTATTAGCCTGGCGAGGAATGAGGATCAAGCCATGTATTAATTATATATTCTGGATATTCAACCCTTATCAGATATATGACTTACATATATTTTCTTCCATTCTGTGGGTAGTCTCTTAACTTTCTTGATTACGTTCTTTGACGCACACACATTTCAAATTTTATGGAAATTCAATTTATCTAATTTTTTTGTATGTTTATTGTTTATTCCTTTGGTGTCAATTTAAGAAACCATTGCCAGATCCAAGGTCATGCAGATTAGCGCCTGTATTTTCTTTTTTTTGAGTTGGAGTCTTGCTCTATTGCCCAGGCTGGAGTGCGGCGTTGTGATCTCAGCTCATTGCAAGCTCCGCCTCTCGGGTTCACGCCATTCTCCTGCCTCAGCCTCCCGAGTAGCTGGGACCCCAGGTGCCCGCCAACAAGCCCAGCTAATTTTTTTGTATTTTTAGTAAAGAAAGGGTTTCACTGTGTTAGCCAGGATGGCCTTGATCTCCTGACCTCATGATCTGCCTGCCTCGGCCTCCCAAAATGCTGGGATTACAGGCGTGAGCCACTGCACCGGCCTATTTTCTTCTAAGCTTTAGTAGTTTTAGCTTTTAAATTTACATCTTTGGCCAGGCACAGTGGCCCATGACTATAACCCCAGTACTTTGGGAAGCCAAGGCAGGCAGATTGCTTGAGCCAGGAGTTCGTGACCAGCCTGGACAGCATGGTGAAACCTTGTCTCTAGAAAAATACAAAAATCAGCCAGGTGTGGTGGCAGGCACCTGTAGCCCCAGCTACTCAGGAGACTGAGGTAGGAGGATCGAGCCCAATAAGGCCGAGGCTACAGTGAGTTGAGATTGTGACACTGCACTCCAGCCTGGGTGCTAGAGCACGACCCTGTCTTAAAAAAAATAATAATAAGTAAATAAATGAGTACAATTATATATTTGATCCATTTTGAATGCTTTGTGGCCCAGCCACCCAGAAGCCTGGATGTCCACATGTGGCTCCAGGCACAGCTCTGGCCCTGTCATCTCTGTGTTTCTCCTTCAGGAACTGGTTGCTGAAAGCATGGGAGAGGAGTGCAGAGGTATTCCAGGGTCCGTGTTCAAGAGGACCAGCCCGTTCCTCACCCATCAAGTGTTCAACAGGTTTGTGTGTCTTGTGTGACTTCTGCGTTTTGTGCTTTGGCAATCAGCTAGGGAGCTCGGCAGAGTGCTGCTGCTGACTTCGCCTGCTGTGGCCTTGTTATCGTGGCTCAGCCGTGGCTCACAAGTATCTCATCCTCGTAAGCATCCCGTTCCTGACTTGGGAAAAGCACACTTTGTTTCCTGGTGGCTCTGCTCCCTTGGCACAGTCAAGAAGCAGGGATGTGGGATGAATAATTGCCAGGCTGAAGTTCATTCCCAAGAGCCCTATATCCTCTTCTTCCCAACCTTCGACTCATACCCATAGTCAGCTTATTGTCCCAGGCATCCTCTGAGGTTTGTGGGGGTCTGTGCCCTTCTCTCTGAGTGTAGTTAACATATTGTCCATGGCCAAAATTGATCTGCATTTTGAAGGTAGATTTTGGTGTGTCTTATATTTCAGGAGGATGTGCATGGCCTCATACCTACTTTTAGGGCCCCTAATTTCTATGTTTTGTGTTCACAGTTACCACTCTGAAACAAATATTGTCCGGTATATGAAGAAACTGGAAAATAAAGACATTTCCCTTGTTCACAGCATGATTCCACTGGTAGTTATTTGTGGCCTTTTTTCTCATTTCCAAGCTACCCCAATCCCACCTCTCTTGGTCCTACCTAATATGCTCCAAGAGCAACAAAGGGGTGGCCATGCTGGGAGAATGGAGGGTTGATTGATGGACTATAGAAAATCACTAATGTGATACATTTTGGATGTGCTTCTTAAAGGGATCCTGCACCATGAAACTGAACAGTTCGTCTGAACTCGCAGTAAGTGGCTCACTTCTATAAGTGGATACTCAGCAAAGGGCAGTGTTCTGGCTTCCACCTAAGCCCAGAACTAGTGAAATCTACTAGGACTGTGATTCTGTGATTGAAGAACTATTTTAATAATTCTTCACCTTGCTATTCACCAATCTTGGGAGAATCCCTGTATTTCTCACTTCATCATTTAAATGTATGAGTAAACTTATTTTTTCAATAAGCTTAATTAAATATATATGGTATTTATGCCTTTCTATCCTATCCCTCACCCACCCCCACCCCCTTTAAACCTGTCATATTAAAAGCTTTTTGAAAAAAATTGTTTATAGTTCTAAATCTCAGGTAGAATTAAGAACCTTAAGCCTTCTTTCTAGAAATCCATTCCTGTATCAGAAAGATAGGGGTTCAAGTCAACAGAAGATCTGTGCAACTCGCTGTTGTGGTTGGCAAGTATCTCTATTAGGCCAGGATCCATTTTAGCAAAGCTTTTTTTTTTTTTCTTTCATTTCTTATGTTTATTCTGATGTGACAAATCATATCAGACAAAAGAAATCATTTTATATCGTGATAAGATTTCCCTCTCCATTCATTTTTTTTAAAAAAATAGAATCAGGGTCATGCTATGTTGGCCAGTCTGATCTCAGACTCCTGGCCTCAAGCAGTCCTCCCACCTCGGCCTCCCAAAGTTCTGGAATTATAGGTGTGAACCACTGCACCTGGCCTACCCTTTTACTTTTGTGTTTGTTTCTTGTTCCACTTAGTGAAGAAAGAGAACAATATATTGCTATATAAGAGTTTATGCCAAGCATACCTGAAGCAACTCATTGTGTTTCATGGAAAGAAATCTATCTGGGGGGCTTTTTTTCCCCTGAAAAGCTAGCAAAACATTGCATTTTTGTATAAGTTCCCTTTCTGGGCAACTATGTCCCACTTTTAAATGAAGACAGTAACGGTACTTACCTTATAAGGTTGTGGTGGAACTTAAATAAATTAACATATGTTTAGTGCTTAGAACAGTGCCTGGCACATAGCTTTTCTCATCATCATCATTATTATTAAAGTTATGACTGCTATTGCTATTATCATATGTATATATGCATTTTTGTTCTCTTTCTTTTCAGCCTATCACATGGAAAGAATTTGCAAACATCCACCCCTTTGTGCCTCTGGACCAAGCTCAAGGATATCAGCAGCTTTTCCGAGAGCTTGAGAAGGATTTGTGTGAACTCACAGGTTATGACCAGATCTGTTTCCAGCCAAACAGGTAAGGGCATTTCTTTCCTTGTTGTTTCAGCAACCTATTGTTTTATAGCATACACCCCAAAACCTAAAGGCTTAGAACAACAACTTGTTATTTATGTTATTCTATGACTTGCTAGACAGTTCCACTACACTGGGGAGGGCATGGCTAGAAGGTGCACCGTGTTCTCCCTCACATAGCTGGTGAGGAGCTGTGGGCTAGGAGTGCATTTGAGGATGTTCACTAGGGCCTTGGTTTTTCTCCATATGGGGCTCTCCTTGTAGGTCCTTGAGCTTCCTTGTTCCTTACAGCACAATGTCAGGGTTCAAAATGCGTGTTCCCAGATGAAGCATGCAGAAGCTGCGAATCTCTAATGGCCCAACCTCCTAAGTTACACTGCATTCCTTCCAGATTAGTCTATCTATTAAAGCAAGTCACAGGGCGAGCCCAGATTGAATCAGGGAGGGGGCAACACCTGGGTGTGAATGTTGGGCGATGTGGTTCATTGTGGGCCGTCTTTGGAAGCTAGCTTACTGCACCTGTCAGTGACACAGCATAAGAAGAAGAATCAAGCACACATGCTGAATTCCCACAAGTGTCTCAGTTTAGCAAGGCCAGGAGGACCTGGATCCTGCTTTGGTAATGTCACTAACTTTGAAAGGTCCTGTCTCCTCTTCCAGCCTCAATTTCTTTGTAAAGGAAAAACTTTGAAGAAGAACAGTGTTTTTTTTTTTTTTTTTTTTTTTGAGACGGAGTCTAGCTCTGCCGCCCAGGCGGGAGTGCAGTGGCCGGATCTCAGCTCACTGCAAGCTCCGCCTCCCGGGTTCACGCCATTCTCCTGCCTCAGCCTCCCGAGTAGCTGGGACTACAGGCGCCCGCCACCTCGCCCGGCTAGTTTTTTGTATTTTTTAGTAGAGACGGGGTTTCACCGTGTTAGCCAGGATGGTCTCGATCTCCTGACCTTGTGATCCGCCCGTCTCGGCCTCCCAAAGTGCTGGGATTACAGGCTTGAGCCACCGCGCCCGGCAGAAGAACAGTGATTTTTGCTCTTGTTGCCCAGGTTGGAGTACAATGGCATGATCTTGGCTCACCGCAACCTCCGCCTCCCACATTCAAGCAATTCTCCTGCCTCAGCCTCCCAAGTAGCTGGGATTACAGGCATGCATCCTCACACCCAGCTAATTTTGCATTTTTGGTAGAAATGGGGTTTCTCCATGTTGGTCAGGCTGGTCTCTAACTCCTAACCTCAGGTGATGTGCCTGGCTTGGCCTCCCAAAGTGCTGGGATTAGAGGCATGAGCCACCACGCCTGGCCTAGAATCTTTATTTTTAAGACAAAACCAAGTGATTCTCATACCAGGTCAATTTGGAATCCCCTGGATTTGCGGTCTCTCTGCCTTCATGATGATAGATGACAGATAGACAGATGATAGATTGATAGATACATAGATAGATGAATGATAGATGGGCAGGAAACATATTATCAGTGTGTGAGTTTCCATGTTAGAACATCTTCAGAAAATGAGTTATGGTATCTGCCTCTAGGTTTTCCACCTCCTACTGCTCAAAGTGTAGTTCTCTACCAGCAGCCTCAGAGTTGATCCCTCTGGGAGCTGGTTAGTAACACAAAATTTCTGTTTCAAGATGCCCTTCCTCCTGTTTTGTAACATAGACTACACAGCAAAGCCATGTACTTTGTAGAAACAATACACCCTATAAAATACAAACCCTTTGGGAAGAGGGTATATGGCAATGAAAGGATACAGTGCTCTCAATTGTGTCTTAAAGTCTCACTTCATAAATAGGTAGGAGCTGATAGCATGAAAGTCAGGCTTTAGTATACCTTTGTTAGAACTTCATTACTCGTTTTTGTTTTGTTTTGTTTAAAGAGAGGAACCTCAGCGAATTCTTAGCCTTGAGGCAATGATAGTTATTAAATGTTGAAAATTAAGAAATTTCGCCCTCTAGTGACGGAATATAATCACATCTTCACTGTCATATTGGAGAGTGTTTTTTCAAGACTATTTTAATTCTGGTTATTAGCTCTTGCAGTAAATTGTGATTCCAGCCAGGGTCCCAGAAGACTGACCTAAGAATCAGGAAATTTGTCTTTTTAAAGCAGTGGTTTACAACCTTGGCGAGGAATTAGATCCCATGGTGACTTTATAACATTCCTGATGCCCGTATCACAATCCCAGATTGAATCATAATCTCAATGGAGAATGACAGGGGTGATGGAAGGGACCCAGGCGTGAGTATTTCTTTACAATTCCCTACATGATTGCAACTTGCAGCCAAGGTTGAGAACTAGTGTCTTAGACACTTCTCCATTGCATTTCCTTACATACCTGGTGTTCTTTCTTTGTCCTAATTTTTCTCATTTGTATGATGGACAGTGAGACTCCACACCCTATCCCAGTCTTGCAGAAGGCAAGAGATCTTTATCACAATGTCATTCCTGGTAATGATGTCTTCTTTGGTTCCTGAGATTCCCAGCTATAACATCCATTCCCAAGAGCTGATTTGAGCATGGCAGGGGCTTTGCATAAGGTTTAGGCTTAGATGAAGGAATGAAGGATGTTTCTGGTCATCAGCAGAAGCTGCTGTGACAGATGGGAAAATGCCTTATTCTTTGTTGAGAAAGTACAAGGGCCATGCTTCTGGTGAGTAAAAGCAATTTGGTGTCTTAATTTGCAGAAAAAAAGAAGGGATACACCACCTATTCCATATATAAGTGATTTCTTTTTGACCTTGTTTCAACTCCTATTTTGGCTTATTTGTGCTAATCGCTGCACAAGTGGATGACAAGTTCCTTGTCTTATAATTATTCTGTGTCTACAACAGGGCTTATATGTTGGCTAATTTGTCATGATGTACTGCTGGCTAGAGTCCAGTGAAATCTAGGGGACCTATATGCACTTCATGTTTTTTGTAAGAAGAAACACAGGCTTCTTGACTACTCTGCACAGAGGAAGAATTTCGAATACCATGTCAGCCACTGACATTATACTCAAAATAGCAGGCGCAGTCACAGGTATCATCAAGGAACCATTTCCTGGTAATTTCATTTATACCTGACTAATTAGAGTCAGTCAGTGTGTCTGTAGAGTTCTGTAGTCACAAAAAGTTTTGAATTTGAATGTTTCCTTTCCTTTTCATTATTGTATGATATTTCAGATATAAGCACGACGTATTTTTAGGAGGTAGCCTTAGTAGTATTTCACAACTCTAAAGTATTTTTTATTGTGGTAAAATATACATAACACAAAATTTACTGTTTTAAGTATTTTTAAGTGTACAGTTCAGAGGCATTAAGTGTATTCACATTGTTGTACAACCATCACCATTATCCATCTGAGAGCTTTTTAATTTTCTCGAATTCAAGCTCAGGACCTGTTAAACAGTAACTCTTCATTTCCTCTTTCCCCTTTTCCCTGGCCCCTGGCGGCCACCGTTCTACTTTCTGGCTCCGTGAATTTGATTACTTTAGGAATCTCATATAACTGGATCATACAATATTTGTCCTTTCGTGTCTGGCTTATTTTACTTAGCATAATGTCTTCAAGGTTCATCAATGTTGTGGCATGTGTCAGAATTTACTTCCTTTTTTCTTTTTTTCAGATAGGGTCTCATTCTTTTGCCCAGGCTGGAGTGCAGTAGCAGGATCTTGGCTCACTGCAACCGTGGCCTCCCAGGCTCAAGCGATCTTCCTGCCTCACTTAGCTTCCTCCCACTTAGCTCGGACTACTGGCATGCACCATTATGACTGGCTATTTTTAAACATTTTTGTAGAGACAGGGGTCTCGCTATGTTGCCCAGGCTGGTCTGGAACTCCTGACCTGAAGTAGTCCTTCTGCCTTGGCCTCCCAAAGTCCTGGGATTACAAGCATGATCTCCTGTGCCTGGCCTACTTCCTTTTAAGGAGGAATATTTCATTGCATATATATAGCACATTTTGTTTATCCATTTATCCATCGAGGGACACTAGGGTTGTTCCATCCTTTTGGCTATAGTGAATAATGCCACTTTACATTGATGTGCAAGTATCTAGTTGAGGCCCTGCTTTCTGTTTTTGTTTTAGTATATATCCAGAAGTGGAGTTGTTGGATATAGGGCAATTTTATGTTTAATTTTTTGAGGAATAGCCGTTCCCCCCAGCAGTGCACAAAGGTTCTGATTTCTCCATATCCCCCAACAACATTTGTTATTTTCTGTTTCTTCAAGTAATAGCAATTGTGAGAGGTGTGAAGTGGTATCTCATTGTGGTTCTGATGGCCATTTCCCCAATGATCGGCGATGTTGAGCATCTTTTCATATGCTTACCATGCATTTGTACATCTTCTGTGGAGAAATGTGTATTTAAGTCCTTTGCCCTTTTTAAAATTGGGTTTCTTAGGAGATTTGTTGATGAGTTATCCAGCGTTCTTTATATCCTTTTTTTTTTTTTTTTTGCGATGGAGGTCCCATTCTTTGTTTTGGTCCCATGGCTGGATGTTTGCATGTGGAACACCATCTCGGCTCATGGACTCCCCCTCCAGGTCAAGGCAATTTTCGTGGCCTCAAGCCTCCCAAGTAGCTGGGATTACAGGTGCCCGCTACCACACCTGACTAGTTTTTGTATTTTTAGTAGAGATGGGGTTTCACTATGTTGGCCAGGCTGGTCTCCAACTCCTGATCTCAGGTGATCCTCCCACCTCGGCCTCCCAAAGTGCTGGGATTACAGGCGTGAGCACCATGCCCAGCCTATGTATTCTTAATTCCTTATCAGATATATGATTTACAAACATCACCTCTCATTCCATGAGTTTCCTTTTCACTGTTTTTTGATGCACGAAGGCAACTCTAAATCTACAATAAACATAAAGGATTTGCACCTTATCTAGCACAATGTCTGTGGCCTTCTCTGGTAAATATTATCTTTTGGTCAACCCGGAGAGTCTAACATTTACCCACTCTTAGTCCTTTTTATTTACATTAACTTTTTCATTCCTACTATCCATGATCTACCATGGTGCAATTTAGATT